TTTTTAGGATGGTGAATGTGCCAGGGCTTAGCAGGAAAATATGCACCTCACACTCAGCTGAATGCAAGGACTTAATTTCAAACTAAAAGACTGCTAATTTTCTTATGCACCCCTTTCATGGATTATGTCAGTTGAGGCTGTTGTACTATATGGAAAGTAGTTCTAGAGGAAGTCAAGGTCATTTTTTGTTACAAAAATATATTCAGCCAATGCTATCCATTTCTAAAGCTCATCTCTGTATGCTTAAGACAGACAAAATTTGCTTTGTTCACTTAGCAGGTTCTTTGATGATACTAATGTGGGAGGTGCTGTTGACTCCCTGGAGGGATGAAAGGCCTTGCAGAGGGATCTGGATAGACTGGAGCATTAGGCATTGGAGCAGTGGCATGAAATTCAACAGAAGTAAATGCCATGTGCTGCACCTGGGGCACAGTAATGTCAGACAAGAGCACAGACTGGGAGATGAGTGGCTGGAGAGCAGATCAGCAAGAAGGGATCTGGGGATGCTGGTCAACAGCAGGCTCAACATGAGCCAGTGGTGTGCCCTGGTAACCAAGACGGCACACAACATTTTGAGGAGCATTAAACAGAGCATAGCCAGATGGTAAAGAGAAGTGATTCTTCTGTTATATTTAGTGGTGGTGCAGCCTCACTTTGTATATTGTGTGTAGTTCTGAACTCCATAGTATAAAAAGGATATTAACATACTTGAATGCATCCAGAGGACATCAAGAAAGCTGGTAAAAGAACTGGGGAGCATGCTCTATTAGAGGTTGAGGACACCGGGTTTTTCTAGTTTGGAGAAAAAGAGGTCAAGAGTCAACCTCATTTCTTTCTACAATTTCCACGGGGGGTGAAATGGAAAGGGAGCTTCCAGTCTCTTCTCTGTGGAAACCCATGACAGGACATGAGGGAACAAAACAAAGCTGTGCTGGGGAGGTTCAGACTAGATAATAGGGAAAAGTTTCTTTACCGTGAGGATGATCAAACACTGGAACAGGCTTTCTAGTGTGATGGTTGATGCCCTATGTCTGTCAGTGTTCAAGAGACATTTGGATAACACCCTTGATAACATGCTTTAACTTTTGGTTTGCCCTAAAGTGCTCAGTCAGTTAGACTACATGATCTTTGTAGGTACCTTCCAACCAAAATATTATATTCTAAAATTTGTCAAGTTTTGCCACAAAGCTGTACTTTAGCCAACACTGAAGTTATTTGTGCTAGTCCAAAAAGTGTTTCTAGATAAAGTGTGTTAAGGTTAAAGAAACAGAGGCAGTCAACCTAGATAACATCAACCACATAACAAAAAGTATTAAAGTTAAAGAATATAATTTATTTTACCAATAGTAATGTTTACAACAACATAATCTGTTACATAGATCATTTTGAAATAGCCTAATATTTTGAAGGAAATTAAATTCAGGCTTTGACAGTTATCTGTTCTGAAGATAAGAGCTGGGGCCACATTGATTCTCTGTAATAACATTCTGAACTCAAAATGCAGAATTAAAACTTTCAGTCTGGCAGCAAGAAAGCAATGTTCATCTCTGTCAGACTGGTATTGTGGCTGTCTTATAGACAAAAAGGAAGATATCAGGTTCCTTATTAAGAAAATGGAATAACAATGTACACGCTTAAAGTAATGCTTGGAAAGTGTATATACATATACTTTCCCCATATATGCAGTAACACATTTTTAAAAGCAAATGATAGTGTCTCATTTAATTATATGCTTTGTGGGATATGTATGTAGGAAAGCTGCATTGCACCACATAGCTGCATCATATAATCCTGCCCACTATTTTTCCGAAGGGAAGAAAATGCATAAATCCCCTTTTTGAATAGATTTGTGAATGATGGAGGAAACCAGAGGACCACAAATGCGTCCAGCTGATGATTAGTCCTTGTCTATTTATGTGTATAAAAGTATAGCTATTGCTCAACTGACCTGAAGAGGAGATTGTGCAGTACTCAGAAAAAGTTGAAAAGCAAATCACACAATTGCTTGGTGCCATGGTGCCAAAGACACCAATTTGGACATGTTTTCCTTCATGTCTACCATAGACCATATTACTCCCCATGAGGGGAGTAATCATTCACCCCTTTCCCCCCAAGGGAAATTATTCAGTCAGCTTTCTAGTTGCTCTAGTGCAACAAACCTGAGTCCTAAGCTCTGAAAAGAACTGTTGATTGGGAGGGGGATATATTGAACATAGGCTGTGAATATAAAACAAGCAGATTATTTTTTTCCCTCAGGTCTAAGAAAAGATTCATCTCTCAGCTGGATAGTATAGTACCTCTCAGTTCTGCTGGTATTTCAATATCTCTGAGCACTTTATAAGCTTTGTAAATCTGCCCCATTTGATAGCTCACTTCAGCATATGCTGTTCTGGTAAATTCCTGGAGTACAGACTCAACTCAGTTAACACTAGAATAGTTTTACCAAGACAAGCCAGGGCTCCCCTGGGGACCCAGGATAGGGTTCTTCCTCAGGCTTATCTTCAGAAATGTCAAACAAGTCAGCACCACCCCATCCCAAAGCAATACCTTTTATACTCTGCTCAGAAGCATGTGTGTGTGTGTATATACATATATATGTATATGTAGTTCCTCGTATCCTCATAATTTCTGGATCCTTCTCATTACTGCTCTTCCTGACAATACATCTGTGTTTTGACATACACTGTGGAGTTAAAATGCAGATGTGAAAAAAACGCATCTGAACACATCATCTCTTCTTGAATAGTCAACTTGATATCCCTCATACTACTGCTCTCTACAGGGGCCTATGCCCAGAACAATTGCAATCAGGACATTTCAATTGTCCAATATGCCTTGATGTCTCAGCTGACTATCCAGAACATTTATAAAACTACTTCCTTCTTCTCCTTTACTTAAAGGAGACTAAAACTACCATGAAGAATAAAAAGTAAGGGAGATGTAGGCTTCTTTGATTAAGAGCAAAATACCCTTGAGCAACAAAATGATGTGAAGTGGTCATCAGCAGGACAGAATGATTCACACATGACAGACACTGTGAACCGTGCAGTAAAAGGTGCTTATCGTGCACAGGAGCATCCAATTACACAAGCACCATTGCTCCTGCCTTGTTCCACTGTGCTGTAACCTGTGATTACAAGGAAATGAAGTTACAGTGAATGTATAGGGAAATCCCAGATTGCTGTGACAAAGAAAGGGGGCACATAAAGTAGGGGCTTGTGCTGTAAAAGTGGTTACCCATTACATTTTCTTTCCTTCACAAAGAAGTATAACTCTTAATACCATCTCCTGCTTTTAATGATCCTGATTTGACTCTTGACATTTACAGTTAGCAAACAAAAAAGGGAAATCTCATACAATTACTTCATGGGTTAAACTACTTGAAATCTCTCTGGTTTAGCAAGCCAGCTTTGAAAGTGGCTATGTGATCTTAAGCTTTCACTGTATGTAATCCATTCCAATTCCTATGTTTGTTATGGTGAGGGATTTTTGTTCTTGTTGTTTCTGAGGAGATAAACAGGAATCTGTTATCTCTTACTGTTATTTCCTTTCATCCACCTGTTCAGCTGTCATCCACACCTTCAATCTCCTATCACAGTGTGCCTTCCCTCTGTTATACTGTTAAGTTTTCTGACCTGTTTTCTCTGTTGACCTTAAAGAGTATTCCCTCTAACGGTAGTTGTTTCCATGAGAAAGAGCTGGGACCTATTTCCCAGACATGCTTCTGCTGTTTTTTCTTGGTTACATGTAACAATTCTGAGAGAAGGCTTTAGCTGATATGGTATTGTTACGTTCCAAATTATTTTTGTACTTCAAATCTGGTCCATTTCTGGCTAAAGAAAAATGCATCTTTTCACATATACTTCCCAACCTACATTATGTCTCTGTTAGCTTTTTTCTGCTCCTTTTCCTCCAAAAAAATCTTTGTGAAGATTTGTGCCTGGCGTTATCTTCTTATTCCCCAGTATACTTTCTTTTCCTGATGCCATATGGACCAACAGTAACTTTTATCGACCCATTGGTCCAATTCCAACTCCTTCCTCTTCTGTTTCTCTCCCTCTCCCCCCAACTTTCAACCTGATACTTGACTTTTTATGCTTGAAATTACAGACAAACTTCATAAATCAACCTGGTTACACCCTAGAAATTACTTAGATTAAATCCATAAGTGATTGACCAAGGAGAAATTCAGCATTTAAACTAAAGTTTACTGTCAATCTGTGATGACATTTCATATATATACTCCTACAGAAGTCTATCATGGGTCCAACTCCATAAAACTGCTTCATTAGCACTGTGCCTGTTTCAGTAATGCACACTAAATCTTAACTAATGCCAAACTAGAAAAGGGAAAAAGTGAAGTTTTGGGGCATTCAAAAGAATCTGAACATTTTGGGAAGGAGCCTGAAATAAGACAAAATTTCATAACAAATTGTTCAAAACTGTAAGGTCTGGAAGATGAGAGTAAATGTAGCAGAGCAAAATGGGGAAATAAATGGGTAGGCAGTGCTGCAGAAAATATCTGGGGTTATAGTGATTCACAGACTATGAAATACCACTTTCATTAAAAAAAAAAAAAAAAAAGGAAAATTTTATTTTTTCATTCTGGGATATATTATCAGAAGTGTTGTATGTAAGACAAACAATGCAATTCTGCTTTACTTGTTACTAGTAAGAGCTTCCTGCTTTCGGCACAGCATGTAAAGAAGCCTGGGAATAATGGAGAATAACCTGACAGCAAGAAAAACAAGATTCTTCAAAAAGCCACAATATTTAAAGAAGTAATTTAAGAACTGGAATGATGTTGTTAAATAAATAAGGAGGTTGAGAGATGGGCAGAAAAATCTTCCAGTTTATCAATGTGAAGACAGTGACTGGTCATTCAACATGTCCTCTGGAGGAGGGCAAGAAGTAATCGGCTTAACTTGCAACAAAGAGGATTTAGTTAACATGTTAGAAAAAACTTGCTACTTGGGGCAGTTAAGATCTGAATCAGGCTATCTAGGGAGGTGATAGGATTCCTTTAATACAAAGATTTGAGAACAGTGTTGTTTGATATGACAGGGATTGGAGATACCTACAGTTCATATTTCAAGTGAGGTAGAAGAAATTTTGATAATCTCTTGCATCTTTGATATAATTTTACCACTGCACATACTCTACATGCAATGATACTAGACAAGAGCATGCATCTGGCCTCACACTGCCAGACCTTTGACCCCAGAGTTGGCAGGAATTCTTATGAGAATCTTGCTATAGTGTTTGTTAAATTATATCATTGAGTGTATTCCAGTCGTCTTTGTTATAACAGTCTATTAACACACATGTTGACATGGATCATTAGCAGCAGTATTCGATGACAATGCTTCATCCAAAAACAAAAACAAAACAAAACAGAGAAGGGTATTTAAATAAATTATTTCAGGGCAGACCCTGCTAGAGCAGTCAATGGCTTTGTAAGTAAGTTGCTACTCTATCTTTGACACTGGACTTCTCCAACTTCCCAAATTCCTGTGGAAAATAATACTCACAGAGAACATATCACACATATATTTTGAAGTCATACATTTTCACACATGATTTCAAGCTAATTTTTTTTTTTTTTCAAGCTAATTTTTACCTATAAAAGTTGTTTATGCTTTGTCATGGTTATGTCTTATTAACCATGGAAGTCTTCATTATTGCCACATGACATTGGGTGAATTCTTACTGAGCTGCTGTGACACAACCTCCTTTTCAAATTGGCGGAAGCTGTTAACTATGACAAGAGGCAAAAATAGTACATATGACGAGACTTTCAAAGGAGTTTATTTCACTCCGCTGAATACGAAAGGAGGCTCAAAACTTAGACTAGATGCAGAAATTTATATTGGAGACTTCTCAGATTAGGTGAGAATTTCCATTATATTTTCTAAGTCTTTCCCATGCATTCCTAAGTTGTCTTGTAACATGAAATACATAAACACTAGTTTATGTATTTAAATATATTAAACAATATATCTTCTTTTAATACATAAAATATTTGATTCTTTCACTACTGAGTATAAAACACCTTACTAGACCCTTACTATGTTGCAACTCTACTCCTGTACTAATCAGAGAACTAGAGACTGCTGTGATGGGAGTTTTTAGAACACACATGAATAAGGACAGACTTAAATTCTAATCCCACATGCCTTATAGATTTTGTAGAAGTCTATGACCTGTCTGATGTTAAGTGGCTTGTCTAATGTTAACACCACACACAGCTGGCTTTGTTGTGTGTTTTTCTGGTACTTACTAATAACCATCAGCACATAGTCAAATGGATTCTTTTAAAAATATTCCTCTAAATAGCTTTGAATGTGCTTTCCCACATAGCAACATGTAGTTAGGGCCAAGGCTCCTGTCCTTAATAATCCTAGCCCTTGAGGCAAAAAAGGTGGCCAGAAGGCCAGTTTTGAGAATTCTTCAGAGGAAGCTGGAATCAAAGGGGGAAAATTCATTCTTTATGACCTTTATGTTCCATGTTGTCTTTTATAAAATATTTTGGTATCTAGAGAATTCTTATCCATTAACTTCTGCACTGCAGGATGCCATGGGGCTGCTACTTTCATTGTGGTCTGCTGCTTTTTGTTTTGTGGATTATTTTGTTGTTTTTATGTTTATTTTTCTTTAAACTCTCTTGGAGAGGCTGCTGTTCCCCCACCACCACCTCCCTGGAGCAAAAGCAGTCTTTTCACAGCTCTCCCATTTACATCTTTTTAGTGCCCAGTACTGATCACCAGTGAGTGGTCAACACATTGCTGACTTAGTTCTAGGGGCTCTGTTTCAACATGCAACCATATTTTCAAAGACTTCACTGCTATCCCCTGTTCAAATTGTTTATATAACATGAGATGCTAGATCAAGTTTGTATTCACCCAGGAGGTTCTTGCAACAAGCCTCACAGATAAGACTACAGCCTGGCAGAGTTAGAATAAAGCCTGTGGCCTCTTCCTAGAAATGACAAAACTACTTTTGCTAGGACATTGGCTAGGAAAATTGTTATACTTTTTTTTTAAACTAGTTACGCAATATTAGTGTGTTTATATTTGAATTCAAAACAAGTTGGTATCCTATTTATTGAGTGCCTACTTCCAAGAATGCAACTGGCCTCTGACAGGCCACCTTTTGAAAGCGTCATCTTCTCTATAAAGAGCTGCCTCATCTGCTCTGTCAAAAAAAAAAAAAAAAAAAAAAAAAAAAACAAAGCACAAAAACAAAACAAAAAAAACCTTATTACATTAAGGAAGAATTAGTAGCCTTTTCACAGTTCACATGACTTCATCTTTCACACAGTTCTGTTTGAATTAAGCATACCGAATTTTTCAGTGAGACTCGTATGTTTGCATTTTCATAAGCATAAAAACTTACTGTGTGATAAAAGGAATCATTACAGAAATGGAAAAAAACTACTCTGAAGTCTGAGAACAGTTGAATGTGAATATTGCAGGTTTCAGTAACATGGTTTTATATCCATAATTGAGAGTTAAATTGTTTAGAACGATTTGCAACACTGGAGATTATGCGAACTAGCCTAAAAGTCTGCATGTCAGAAAATAGCAGATTTCTTTTAGAACAAGTACACAGGAAGAGCTTTAACTTCTTTCCTAATTCTGAACAGAGAAAAGAACTCAAAACACAGTATTCAGACTCTAGACCAATGTCTAGATATGTTAGGTCTCATATTATAAAAACCCTTCCTGGGATTTCTCATGAGACAAAAATGACTTTTGGATGAAATAACTTTTGCATAACAAAGATCATAACCAACGTCAAATATTACTTGATAGTTTGGTGATTTCTTGAACTATTCCTTGCATAACTTTAGCCAGGTAAGTAGTCAGCTACATGATCTGAAGAGATTTCCACCCCCCACACACCCCCTCTGAAGAAGGATACAAAAAGGATTTATCCTTTAAATGGAAGAATGGACACCCTCAAGTGATAGCCCATCTCTTCTAAAAGCACTCAGTTGGGTTGCCCTCCATGAACGTTGTTCTTTCTTGTTGACTGTAGAGAGAGCCTAGTCAAATGGCTTTGAATAAAAAACAACCAAAAAGCTTTAAGTAATTATTTCACTTTTGGATGGCTACAGTCCCAAACAAGAAATCACTGATACTTCTGTACTTATTTTTTAACTAAAAGGATGACCATAACTAAAAGGATGACCAAATTGTTTTTAACTGTTTAACATACATAACATATCTAGTCTCAGAGATGTTACCAGCTTTTCAAGCAACAATTGGTTTGAGGTCTGCACAGAAATAATTTTCTGCTCCTTTTTGAAATAATTATTACCATAGAATCACAAAATGGCAGAGGTTGGAAGGGACCTCTGAAGATCACTTGGTCAAACCCCCCTGCCAAGAATAATATCTATAACACATTGTGCAAGATGGCACCCAAGCAGTTTTTGAATACCTCCAAAGTCGGAGGTTCCACAGCCTCTCTGGGCAACCTGTTCCAGTGCTCTGTCACCCTCACAGTAAGTAAGTGCCCCCTCATATCCTCATATTCAGCCAGAACCCCCTGTGCTTCAGTTTGTGCCTGTTGCCTCTCATCCTGTTGCTGGGCACATCTCATGAAGAGACTGGCTCCATCCTCTTGACATCCTCCCATCACGTTCCTTAAGTTTTAGTGAAAATTCTTCTCCTTTTAATATATATATATATATATAAAACAAGCAAATGTTTCAGATACAAGAATCTCCTGAGTTGCAATCTATAGCTGCCATTTACCCAAAAAGCAAGTGTGAAGTCAGAGATGCACCTTCAACTCACTCGTTTCTTCATAGCATGAAAAGCACATACTCTTTAGGACAAAGAGAACAAAGTAAGCCCTGTGAGTGGCTGATGCACTAGAGACTGATTTAGTCGGAATCCTTCCTGAAGTCCCACAATTCTCTGACATCACCAGTCTGGAATGGTACATAGAGAGTTGAATATGGTGTGATAACTCTTTATTCCTTCCCTCCCGCCCCCCCCCTTTTTTTTTTCATAAGTAAAAATAATAAAATTAACCACTTACAGATAGCAATTTCAGAGCCTGAACACTTGTGAGCACTTGTCTTTTGTAAGAGGAACAAACAAATCAGTGTGATGCATTTGTTTACCAAAAACAGGGAGGGAAAGAAAAGAAAATATTTAAGCTTCTTCCTAATATTTAACACTATAACAACCCCAACAGTTAATACTAAATTAGGAGTTTATCCTTATAGCACAGCAAATGACAATATAAACTTACATGCATACAGATTTACTACCAAGGATTTACAGCTGACAGCCCACAAACTCTAAATAAAATGTATATTACTGGATAAAAGTGAATTTAAAAACAAAAATGCATGTAGAACAGAAAAATGAAGAAGTCCCCCAAAACTAAACAAACATCTTCCCTTCCCTTCCCCCCAAACAACTTTTCCACCTATAAATGCGTGCTTCCATTGTCACTCATTAGGCTAATAGTGTTGATTGGAGCAGGTTTTGTTCAGCTGATGATGCTGCAGCTCTGATTGCCCTTTAAGCTTTGTGCTACCCATCATTGGTTAAAGTCTATTAGATGTTTAAACGACCTTTGACTCCTGTTGTTATGTTCTGAGCAATGTGATCCCAAGTAGTTTTAGATTAAAGCTATAAAGTGAGAGGAAGAAAAGGAAAGTCAATTAACCTATCAGTGTCCCACCCCAAATTCAACACAACAGACCTGTCAGGTCACTCCTGGTGCAGAGTTGAAAGCATTGCCCCAGAGCATGGGGGTGGAGGTTGCAGGTTGCAGGGCTGAAAGTGAAAACTAGGCTACAGTGATGTAAAGGAAAGGCTTCAGAACTGCAAATATTGGGAAGTTCCAATTATAGAAGTGAAAGTACTGTCAGCAAGCTATCCTTGTGTATTTTGGAGGATGTCAATGTTTGAACTTCAACCTCCAACAAGCAGAATTACAACTAAATATTTTGTAGAGCTATTAGGTTCTTAAGATTTGTAACTTTCAAACTTTTATTCAGTAGGTGTTTTCTTCTCTCTCACTTTTTTTTTTTTTTTTTTTTTTTTTTGTGGCCAAATTACTCTCACATTTTTTTAAAAAATGCATTTTTTCCCCTTCCTTTGTTCTTGAGGTTTGAAATGTCTGAAATAGTTCTTCTTTCCTAGCCTGGAATATATTAACCTGTGCAATAAAAGAAGCTAATCTGTCCCTCAAATGACAAATTCATTCAAAAAATAATATATTTTCTTCTTAAAAAATGGCAAGAGCAAGAAGTGAATTAGATAAAACATGAAAGGATCAAATTTTGAAGTCTCAAAATACAGAAACTGTGTTAGTAAGAAATAAGATTTATGACCTGGATCAAAACAGTAAGCCCAACTTTTGCTACCAATGGTATTCAATTTCCAGATCAGCTGCCCTGAACAATAACAACAAAACAAAATCTTTGAATGTTTTTAAAACTTGGGTTTTGTTGTTCAGGATGGGATCTCCCACACAATGCACACTGCTAGTGTATAGTCAGGGGAACTACTGGGTATTTTCCAGAAGTCTTTAACTTCTTAAGCAAGAGGCTACTTACAATTGCCAGTAATGGGGCATTTCTCTAGCAGCAGCAAACCTGTGTAGCTGCACTTGCATTCATTTATATGTAAGTCCTAGAGTGAGCGCTGCCCACAGTGATAGTGTACAAAGAGCAGACGCTTTGTTATTAACATTGCTTGGATCAAAAAGAAATAGTGCCTAGTAATGCTTTGAGTCTATGCCATAGTGTCTTTTCTTAGCCACTTTCACAATGAGTCATGATGATCAAAGACAGTGATACAATCACAGTAACCTTTCTGGACATATTTCAGGAAGATCCCCATCTATGTGGCTGTGGAAGAAAATGTACTGACTGAGAAAAGCAGTGTATGTAATGCACTGTTTTCAAAACATACTGCCAAAGGCAAACTTGCTCACAGCTTCTATCATGGCCTGTTGCATTTTTTGTTAAAAAACAGAGGCTGATGAAACACCTTGTGCCATTTGCCTATTGCATGTTCAACATTCCTATTATATTTTTGTTATTCTTCTTGTCTTTGTCATGCAGAAGACAATCTTGACAGCATGTCTATGTTGTGCAGGAGATGTCCTAAGCAACCAGTCAGTCAGAGAAATGTGAATTGTCACATCTCAAAGAACTGAAAATGGAGAAATGGAATAATCATAGCTAAAAATCAGTATCTTTAACTCTTTCATTTCTATTCACATTGATAGAAAAGTTTGCTGATATCTTATCTGCAATTTCCTCCCACTTTTTTTCATGTGTCAAAAGCTCCAGTTCTTCTCTAATTATTTTTGACGCTTTCTATGAGGCTATTTTCTGTGAACAGGATGATCAGAGCTCTTGGGGATAGGAAAAAAGTATGTCATGTATATAATCTAATATTAAAACAAACAGTTCAGAAGCACTGTACTGATTATATAAGTAATTGAAAATGAAGCCATTGCAAATTTACTAGACTTTTGCACCAGGGACTTGAGATACTTGAAAGGATTTAGGATCACATTTGCAGCAACATATATGTGGACTTGACTATTGTGCCATTTCCCTATATCCACCAAACTGCATTAGACAGAGGCATGATATTGAGTATCACACTTCATAGTGACCTGCCTGAAAATTTCAGTAGAATTAGAACTTCTACACCCTACTGTCAATATAAGGGTAACTGCGTGTAAGATAAAAAGCCCTGAGAGGCTGCAAGAGCTTCATTCTAGAGAGCCTTGAAGGGGATCAGATATTGTTAGATAAGCATCTGTCAAAAACTAACAATGATAACACTGATAGGCAGGTTTTTAATGTGTATGGATTTTCACTAACTACTGGTATTTTTTAACATTTTGGCCTAGAAGCTTCACCTGAAATGGTTGTTCTACTATTTTAATTACAAAATAAATCCCTGCTGTGATAAGATTACAGTCAAACATACAAATTGAAATAAGTGAGCATGAGTTAACATGTATTTATATTTTTGCATGTGTAAATTGACCTGGAGTTGATGGCAGGTGAGACAGATATTTTCATTTGAGAGCCAAGTGGTATGAGACAGAATATGGGGCAAGGAGCCTGAAATTTGTGCCAGAAAAAAATTGGGAAAAGTATTGTGTGCAAATAAGAAAGAATATAGCTATGGATTTATGAAAAATAAGTCTTGTCACATAAATGAAATACAATTTTAATGGATCAACCTGATTTGTAAAGAGAACGGTGCTAAAATATGGTGCTAAATAATAATTTGTATGCCTTAATCTTACATAACACTGATCGTATATAATAAAGCTGTAAACTCTTTATGAAATCCTTTACAACAGAGAAAATAAAGCAAGTGTAAAGAGAAACCTTTCATCCATGAAGGATCTTTCTCTGGGAGCATCTAAAGGGTTTCTTCTTCACCAAATGCTGTTAAAATAATGATGTAGAAGAAAATATAATATTATCTAAGGAAAAAATAGAAAATGTGGTAGAAAATAAGGCACTGAGTTCAGTTACTCAGACTAATCTGAACTGTTTTGGAAGGTGGAAAGCAACTGAAATGTATTTCTTTTGCTATATCCAAAGATGTGATTTTATGTCATCATGAGTTTAAGTCGTGTCTGACTGACTAGAGTTGTCATATGTGTAACTGCCATGTACTGAAAAGAGCTTTGGGTCAATAAATGAACTTCCACTAGTAGCTAGCACTCCATGTGTCAGCTAGGATTGTCTCTGGATGTATAAGTGCTGGCCATGCACATCAGAGAAGGACTGGGACAGTTGTTTAAAGGAGGTTGAATTTATTTCCTTTCTAACTCTGTGTCTCTCTTTGGTCCACTCACCTTTATAGAAGGCTAAAAACCTGTGAGCCATCAGTTGCCAGAAAAGAAGGTTAACAGTTTTTCAAAACAGTTTTCTCAAACAGAGCTTGAATTAGGTGGTTGGGTAGGAGAACAGAAGATAAATGGACATGATAGACCCAGACAGGAAGAATTTGGACAGTCTCTTCAGTTTGAAGGTGTGCCCAGACATGGGTACAAATACAGTCTTGCTGGACTTGCCCAATTCTGCATTTTCAAACAAGTTGGAGGAGGCTATGAGGGCTGAATTTTCACCACCAAATCCTTTGTTTTGTTTTGTTTTGACAGTGTATAGAAAATGCAGGAAGAAGTTACACCTCCTATGAGTTTTAGAGAGGAGATAGGACTTGTGCAGCTCCTACCAGTGCACCTGGAAGCCTACACAAGAATGAAGACTATTTGGAAGGGGTGGAAAGGGGAGCAGAAGGTGTGTAAGCTCTCAGGGCAAGTACCAGCAAATCACAATTTGCCCTGTGGGTGAGTGAGTATGAGGGCATCTGGGCTGTTCTCCACCATAATCCCACCATTGATAAGCAGCATGGATGGATTCTTGCTGCCAGCCCTATGTCTTTACACAGAGCAGGTAACACCAACCCAAAGCCCACAGGCATCTACAGTCAACAGTATAGACATGTTTGGTGGAACATATACATGTATATGACCTTGTAGAGTGAGGTCAGGGAGCATGGGTAAGAACCTCTGTGTACAGGAAATTTTAGTACATATCTCTGTGTTGGAGAGGGACAAGACTTAGCACAATACAGCACTTTTTCACAGCCTATCCTCCAGGGTGTGCAGCAGGCCTACAAGTGTTCATAGCACAGCATAAAATTGGGCTGTATGTGCTTACATTTACTGTTTGTGTGTGTCCTACTTATTATTTTGATGATCAGAGGGCTGGAGAACCTCTCCTATGAAGAAAGGCTGAGAGAGCTGGGGCTGTTCAGCTTAAAGAAGAGAAAGCTCCAGGGTGACTTCACTGCAGCTTTTCAGTACTTAAAGGGGGCTTGTAAAAAAGATGGAGAGCAACTTTTTGCTCAATCAGATATTGACAGGACAATGGGGAATGGTTTTAAACTAAAAGAGGGGTGATTTAGATTAGATATTAGGAGGAAATTCTTCACTCAGAGGGTGGTGAGGCACTGGAAGAGGTTGCCCAGAGAGGATGTGGATGCCCCGTCCCTGGAGGCATTCAAGCTGAGGTTGGATGAGGCCCTGAGCAACCTCATCTGGTTTGTGATGACATCCTGGCCCATGGCAGAGGGGTTGGAACGAGATGGTATTTGAGGTCCCTTCCAACTCGAGCCATTCTATGATTCTAAGATTTTATACAGTTGCACAATTCTGGTAAACACTGCAGCACTGAGTGCTTCACTGTGAACTCACTTGCTGTAGGGGTTTCACATTTAAAGTTAATCAATGCAAAATTAACTGCACCATCAACATTGATTGGGTTATGAAGGCTTTTTTGTTATAGGAACTGCAATATCATGTTGCTTCCAGTTTTCTTTGCATTAGCTGTATGCACAGTAATGAATGCCAGCATCTATGTAATTTGGCTTTGTAGATTCATAGGGGAAGCCCAGCAGTGCACATAAGGAAGGAAGTAACGATACTTGCCAGAAATTTAGCTATAAACAACTGGAACAATATAACTCACAGGTCAGCAGTTCCTGCCATCAGACAGTGTTGACATTTGACATCTTTGCAGACAGTATGGGCTGCCCATTTGTGAAAGCTTGTTTGACCCAGGGGGCCATTAGCAAGATCAATAGGCAGAACAGGCCCTCCCTCTGACTGCAAGGAAATGTATTTAGTGTCCTGGGTTGACCTGTCACACTTTGAGTCTCGCATCTTCTAACATTGTGGAAGAATTCACCTACACAACATCCCCACAGTTTCTTGCTAATAAATACTTTAGGCTTGCTGTCCTATTTGCTTGTATTGCTGTCCAGAATTTCACCCTATGTAACCATCTGAGACTTCCTCTTGTGCCTGTGAAGGAAGACTGAGGATAAAATCAAACCGGTTTCACAATTTTGTGCCATGTCCTCCCTAAGAAGAGAGTCAGGTGCTTGTTTCTGCCAGTGCTCAGTGCAGTCACCCTTCAGGGTAATATGCAGCTTACCTTCAGGATTGTATTTATATAACTATGTATGTATATAATATATATATATATATAACTGTGCTGAAGTAGATTAACAAAAGGTTGTTAGATGTCATTGTGTAAAGATCAAGGTAGTTTTTGAGATGCTTACAGACAGCTTAAGTTCAGTCATATCAGGAGATTTTTGAATCTACAAGTAGAGGGTCTAACAGAATTTACACAGCCATTGGTTTAGGCAGCTCCTCTCCATTCATTTTTCTGTCTCCAGTTTTCTGGATCACTTTCTCAAATGTCATTGCCTAAATATTTCCTAATCCCCTTTCAGGCATCTAAGAAGACAAGTAGAATTTAATGTTTTTAAGCTTCTCCGAATATGCAGTAATTAGTTGCACCCCAGTTAATTTCCACACTTAGGTAGGGACTTGAGCTTAGTAAAGGTGAGCCTCTTCATCCCGTCATCACAGGGCCATGGTGCCAGCTGAAGCTGCCCACAGTTGGACTTCACAGAACCTGGGAACTGCCAGGTTGGCATAGTTTGTCCATGCAGAGCCTGAACCTGCTGTCCCAGCCCAAAAGATTGAGGTCTTGGATGTTGTTCAGTTGTTCACTCATTTCTCCTTCAAAGACATTTGAAGGAAGAAAGCAAAGGATTTCAGTATACACTTATTCACCAAAGACAAACTTCTGATCAAAGTGATACTTCTGCACATTTACAGGGACTTTAAGAGAATGTGGGACTCTTGGCACTATCTTAGAAAAAGTATCTGTGTCAAGCAACAGGCAGTAGTTCTCAAATGACTAAGTAACAGCAAAGCTGAGAAACCAGTTCCTTCTTTAGGACTCAGACGAGTGCCTTCATGAGGGCCTGTCTTAAGGAGCCACAAAACTGCTGCTAGGGAAGAATTGTATAAGGGAAGAAAGATTGCATATGGTTTATTTTACTCAGATGTTGACACAAACTTGGCATGGAAGTAGATTAAGATAAGCAAGACCAATTATGTAAAAGGCAGTGATTGACTTTACGTTTTAAAAATGCAATTACAGTTTAAGAATGGGTGATTTCAGAAAGACAGAAAGTTCTAACTGAATTGTTTGCTGGAATGAAGCTGGAAGAATTCCTGAAGCTGGAGTCATTTTGTACCTAAATATGTTGTATGTTCATAAGGGAGATAATAATACAAGTTTTCCTGGAGGAAATATTATTTATTGGAATTTTGAGATTTTCATGCACCAGAATGGGCAGATCAAATTTTTGACCATCCAACATGAATTATATAAATTGTGGTCACTGTGTCATGTAGTAATACCCACCATTCTATAAAGGTATCTTACTCACAATTCCCCTGGGAAAAGGTCAATTAACTATACAAGGATTTTTTACAAAAATAGAAGTGTTTCTTGAAACACATCAAGTGACTGAATAGGAGGAGGGAACTGATGATGACCCTAAAGGATATCACAAATGACTTCAATTAATTCCATAGTAGATTTTTATGTCTGAAACCTGGAAAATATGCTTTGGGTTCTATGTTCTTTCCCTTATGTAAGATCATTGGAAAACTTTAATTGGAGCCTCATCCTCTGATGTTCTACAACCCAAATTCTGAGCAGAAAGAAACTGCACAAGACTATGTCTTAGATGCCTAATGTAAAATGAGGTATCTTCTCAACAACAGAATATAATTAATATGCAACATATGTCAGCCTTAATCATTATAAAAGCCCAGTGGTTTTGGCCACCAATTTTGTATGCATAAAAACAGACTTCTGAAGACAACATGCTCACAGATAACATGTAGATTCTGAGAGGAATCAATTGTTCAGGTGATAAAAAAAAAAAAGTCCAAAATGATAATTTCCTTGTTAACAAAGTCTGCAATGTATTTTGGTTTGCTAACTTTATTAACAGTAGAAGGATAAAAGAAACTTTAGTTACTTGATTCTTGTAGGTTATGGCCACCTCTGTTCCTCATTTCTTATTGAGTGGTATTGAAACAGTAATGCCTGATGCTCAGCCAAATGTATTACCCTCATTATGATGTGTAACCCATAGTCCTCCAAAGGCACTTCATGCCATGTGTTCATCCTCTTCCTGGACATCCAAAATCAAGGATGACAATGGTATCACTTGCATGCTAGTTTTGAAATATACAAATGTCACTGATGACATCTCAGTATACCAGTTGCACTGGAGGATTCATACATGGAAAAATCTTTAAAAAAATCTAGCGAGGCACTTGATTCCATCTTCTGAAAGCACAGAGCACATCTGTGCAATATACATTCCACTTTTGCAATCCAGCCTCTTTTTAAACCTTTCCAGCAAGAACATCTACTTTCTTATTCCTTGACAATTTTTTTCTCTGTTCCATCACACCTTCATACTGTGGTCCTTGCATTCAGACATCATGTTTTTCTCTACCAGGCTATGCTAGCATACAGTCCTCCTGCAGTAATCACAGAATCATATAGGTTGGAAGAGACCTCCAAGATCATATAGTCCAACCTCTTACCTAACACTAACAAGTCCTCCACTAAACCATATCACAAAGTTCTAAATCTAAATGTCTTTTAAAAACCTCCAGGAATAGTGACTCAACCACTTCCCTGGGCAGCCCATTCCAATCACCCACAATGAAGCCAGCATTGGTGAATATACTTTCATGTTAGAAAAGGCAAGTTAGAGGCATACTGCAGCTCCTGATTTCTTCTGATAGAAGAAAGTGTTGGAAAATATTTTGGTAAGACAAAGGATGAAAAATGAGTGAATCCGTTTGTCTTATATAGAGGAAAATACAAGTACTCAAAAGAAATATATTTGATTAAAATCTAAAAATAATCAAATGCAATAGATTCCTGTAAGAGTTAAATCTTTGTGGTGGATTTTTGCCAGAGGAGTTGAGGACAACTGCTTTATGACCTACACTTAAGTAAAATAGTATCCCGTGTTTTGAAGTTATCACTGTAACTCCAGTTTAAAAACATTTTGGGAACTGTTTTATTAATCACCAAATGTAAAACAAACAAACAAACAAAAAGAAAACCACACACACAAAAAAACAAACATACGCACACACACTAAAAAACAAAAACACCACCCTAAGTCTAAATTTACATGCATAGCACAGTTGCATATCCTTTTCAAGGCCAAATTAAAGAACAGCTCCCTCCCCAAATCTTAAGCTCCTCCCTCTCAGCAAGCCTTTAAAACTTAGGGATCCTCTTTCTCAAGCAGCATCTTTTTTATTGCCATTAAAACAAGAGTGGTAGCTACAGAAAACTAGATAGACCACATGAGGCCATTGCTGGTTCACATTTTGAGGTATTAATTCTTTTATTAGTGCTTTACCATCCGTGATGTTTTAAGACTTGCAGCAGATTTTTTAAATGAATAGGAATTGACCTGTTCTGAACTGTCAGCAGTTTGGAAACTTAAAACATCCAGGACATGTCTCAAGGAATCCAGTTACTCTCTTTGATCCTAGATTAAAAGGACTGTTTGAAATTTCAGAGCTATGTAGTTTTTACATGGCTCCAATTAATACGACACTTGAGCTTTATTCTGTGAATGTACAATGATGTAGAAAACTCTTTGGAATTCCCTCATCTGCTATATTATTTTTAAAAATACATGTATTAGTTTTAGATCAACATCTTCAATCACATTCAGAACTCCATCCTATCCTTAGGTTTTGTAATTCACAGAGCTTTAGCTTCACAGGTTATTACCAATAAATCCCAAAATGCATGCATGGATTGATTTAAGAAAGATATTTTACTTGTGTTTCATACACACACACAAAAAAAAAAACAAAACTGATAATCAACAGTGGCTTAAAAAATTAACACTACTTCACTTTTTCACAAGTGTACAAAAAAGAAATAATGAATTTACATTCAACGATAAAGCTTAAAGTCCACTCTAATAATAGTTGCATTGACATTCACATACACAAGCACAGAATAAATATTTCAGGATTCTTATAAGAGCATACAGCATACATACAGTACTTGAATTTTACATAAGAGTGTTAGTAGGGTCAGAAATTCATAACCGCATAGAAAAAGTAAAATTAAAATCAGAAAAGGTTGTGTGGGAGGTAACACCAAGGTACTGCACAGAACTAGCAGGTTATATAAATCCACTTGTGTGAGGAGTTTTCTTCTCCTTCATATTAGGACAGTTTCTTTGCAAAGGTGTATTCAAAGTGCAGATTAATGCAAAAAAAAATAAAATATTACTGTATTTATTAATACATGCAAGAGGCAGCCCCCAAGTGACCCGACAGAATAAAGCTGTTATTGGCAAGTGGCCGATATAATACAGATGTTTCAGGCAATTTTTCTAAAGCACTTTAATAGCAGCAATCATAATTTATAATGGCTCTAGACTGACTTCTGTTTGGGTTAAAGGGCATCATATTTCTTTAACATTTACAGCTATATTTCTTTATAAATAAATATCTCAAATAACAAATAGCATAGTTAACATTTCTTTTTTCCTCTCTTTTGCATAAGTGTCGTGGAAAAACTCTGACTTTTTCAGAGACATTATGTGCAAAATAATGTTAGAGTTGCAACAGGGACACAGAGCATCACAGTCAGTTACATTCCTGGGATGTCAGCCCAGCCCTTCTTATTCTCACAGGGCTAGCATTGCCAGGGTAATGTAGGGCTTTAAAGGACGATTTTCCCAATGGCTTGCTTGGTAGAGACATAAAGTTTATGTCATCTTAAAGAGCTGTAAATGTGAGGTTTTATTTTCAGGAGTGTGTAAAATACAACATGTATAGGGCTCAGTATTCCCACACAGTGACTTCCCAAGGTTTGAAAAGTCTGGTCATCTTTCAGACATTTCCTCCCCAGCCTGAACATCTTTGAACATGTATGTTCATTAGGTGTTTACTTTGTTGCATATTTACCAGCTCTTCTTGCGTCTTATAACCTGGTCTCATATCACCTAGCTGACATCTGCACACAAAGATTTCCAATCAGATATAGGGTGCACCATATTAAAAGTTTTAAACCTGTCCTGTAAGTGTCATCAAGACAGGAGCACAGGAACCACAGTGCAGAGATTCCAACCTCTCACTGGCTGTACTGTGAAGATTCTCCTTTTCGGCGTAGGAGAAAGGAAACTTGTGTCTGCTTTTTAGATTCTGAAAACAAGCCAGAGTGGAGAAAAAGAGTTAACACCAGACTTAATAAAGCTTTTTAAGACAAAACCTGTTAAGAAATTTAGACAGACACTCTGAATTTCCTGCTGATTTTCTGAAGTCTGTACATACAGGAAATTTGTTAACAGTAGGAAGAAATTGGGAGTTGCTACATAGGAGAAATCTGCCATTATTACAAAAACTGGCTAAGTGGGTTCTTTCAGTATAAACCCCTCACTGATCACTGTTCTCAGTAGTGCTGTTGCCCTTTTCTTTTTTCTCCTGAGTCTTGTTTCCCTTCTTCTTTTTCTTCTTTTTCTTGGTCTCTTCCTTCTTGCCAAAGGTTATGAAGTCACTTTTGTCAATTTGGCTGTTTGGTGGCTCCTGCCGGATGGAGATGATTGCAGGAGATCCTGGGATAATGAATTTGTCTGGCAACTCACCAGGACCACCTTGTTTGGGATTGCCCGGTCCAAACTTAAAGGTCCAGCTGTTGCTGTTCACACCAGCTCCCACGGGGGGGGACACCTCTCCTGCCTCAGGTTCTGAAAAAGTCAAGAAACAGCAAGAAAAGCTTAAAACATCAGTACATACAAGCACTCAGTGAGTATCAGCTTCACGTTTGAAAGCTATGGCTTTAGCCTGGGTCTGTGCTGACTCTTGGTGGCCTGGCTTCTCATCTGGGTGTTACTGGCTGGTTCATGTCCAGGCTGCTCAGTGCTAGCATGCGCAGATTCTTCCCACATATTGCTCTGGATCCCATGTTGTGCCTTGAAGTACAACTGTTCTCAGTGTTTTTTTGAATTTGAAGTGCTTGAAATAAGAGATCACTATTTCATACAGGCAAATATAAAGTGAAGTTCTATCCCCAGCTTTAGGCTTGCACTATGAAGCAAATTTTTAATTTTGCCTCCATGATTTTGCCATGTCTGACCCAGTGAGATAGACATTTTTATGTGTGTTTCTCTGGCAAAGATATATATTGAGTATATAGCACAAAGAGATGCAACACAAATCAGGCTCTTCACTAGTCTTAAAACCTGCTTGCTTTCTTTCTTTTTAAACACTGAAAATTATTTGTAATTTACATAACTCCAAAATTTGAATTGTACCAAAATATTCACTTTAATATATTATTTTAAGTACTTAAGTAACAAGGATTCTGACCAGGTGAAAGCTCAATGCTTGTGCATTGATCCTAAAGCCCTCCAATCTGATGAAAATGTTCTTATCTACACCCTAAAAGTGCAGTATTGACCTGTCCATTTGTAACGCTACTAGCCATACATAAATTCTTGCAATACCACACAAACAATGCCAATCCCATGGATCTGGTTAAGTCTCGATATTGTGCTCTGCATCAGAGCTGTCCAGCTGAACAGGTGAAGATATCGAGTGGGGAAGAAGGGAGTGGGATCAGCATTGCTGCAAGGAAGGGTTGGGAAACTGTCACAGGAAGACTGCGTATCCCTTAGAAGAGAAGGCTGGACACGGAAAGAAGAAGAAACAGAGAAATCCTAGGTCTCACACTAGTGAGAGATGGAGGAAGAGGAAACAAATCAGAAAATCTAGGTGGAGATCTCCAGTGTTTTGCCAGACAAGAGGATGCTATTCAGTAAACCTCAGCTGCTGACTGTTCTGCACCCCTGTAATAGCAATGAACAATGTTGCACTTCCTTTAGCAACCACTTCATGAAACGAGCAGTATCTCCTGTATTTCTGATTCTTTCAAGATTCTTCATCTTCTGTAATGGTATTCATAGAATTTTCTATGTCATGAAATAAAGTGTATGTTGTGTGTAGACATAAGACTCTTGATTCAAAAGCTAAAAGACACATTTTACTGCTTGACAATCTTTTTCTCCTGCCTAGCAGAGAAATACACTTCTGAAAAGCATAGTTCTTCTCATTTATTTCATACTTATGCAGTATGTCCATGTTACAGAGCCAAAGGAATTTGTATACTTGATACATCAGCACTGTCTCTGAGACTGTCTGTGTAATAGGTTTGTCATAGGCAATCTTTTTAACAAAGGTGATATGATTGTTTTTGCAATCTGGTCAAGATTTAATCAAGATTTACAAGATTTACAAGAGCTTCTACAATTCTTTTTTCTCTAAGACTGCATTTGATGATGAGGATTTGACTTTATGTCAAATAAAGGAAATGCAGAAGTATTTCTGCATTTCTCCAGGAAATGCAGAAGTATTTTAGTGACCTTAACCTAATATCCCTAGTGTAAAATATCTTTTTTGAAGTTATTATTAATGTGAAATTTCCTCTATTTTATCAATTGTAGCTTTTCTGAAAATTTCCTATGACCTTAACTTTCAGCTTCAGGGTGGTTTTTTTTCCTATGTTTCTTTTTGATAATGGAAATGTCCTAACAAGTCCTTACTTACTAAACACATTAATATGAAACAGCTTTCATTTCTGCTTAATAGAGTATTTTGGTCAAGTACCTTTCAGATTGCTTTTGTTTCTTTGAGACCATAAATTACAAAGGTGAACATCGTGTGTCTTGGTCCATTTCCAAATTATTATTCATTTGTCTCTACAGCAATTTAAAAAACGTGAGCTTTCACATCACACACAATAGATTAAGGCCTATTTGACAAATAATCACTTCTTCCTTCCCAAAAAGCCCATCCAGCATTCATTTCAAACAACATTGGCCCAGACCCAATTCTCTTTTTCTGTTCCTGTCTGGAAAAACAGAACAAAACAAAACAAAACCACAATCAAACAAAACAAACAAGCAAAACACTGAAGGTGACTTCAAACCATTTTTGAACCATCCTTGCTGTGGCCAGTAGAAGCCCTGGAACAGTGAGTAGCCTAAAAACTGTTTTGAAGTTTTAGCATTACAACAGCACTCAATGTACCTCATTGCCACCACTGCACAGCCAAAAAACATTTTTTGCTTTAAAGTGTGCCAGTGTTATTTTTATGTGACCATATTCAGTTGGAGATACAACATGAAGCAATGATAGTGACTTAATATTATGCAATATTTACTTAATATTTAATTATTTAATATTTACCCATTTTACTACACAATTATGGTAACTTGCAAAAAGCATTTAAGAATAGAAGATATCCTCACAGTGCATTATCTTTTTTTTTTTTTTTCCTTGAATGAAAATCCTTGCCAGGCTAACGGGCTGCACGTACACTCCTGCATTACTGAAATCTAATTCAGAACAGGATATTGACCCTTTAATCTGGTTCTGCCCAGACAAATCCACTCACCAGATGAAGTCAGAAACATTTATCACAAATCCATCTGGTATAATGCATACAACCACAACAAACCCATGATATCAACCCTGCAATCAGGATTCTGTTCACCTGAAGACTAAGGGCTTTCCTGTATTTCTGTGTGTTTTTTCTCCCCAGCCCTTGAATGTTTGTTGCCATACAAAGCAAGCATATTAATACTCCTTAATACTCACTAAGCCAAAGGAAACCAATTATCCTTACAGCAGTGTGGAGCGCTCACATACAAAAAGAACGAGACAGACAGAACGTAATGAGTTAATAGCCATCATTTCCTAGCAATGGGGCTTCAACAGCCTCCTCAGGAAATTTCACTTCTGCTTGATTTACCTGGCAACATGTGCTTTTATCTGGATTGACAGGCTGTAAGGTCACAGTTCAGCTGTCCTAAGAATGCTGTATGTTTAGGTATTTCAGATCAAGAATAAATGTCATGTACCACCTAGTTTCCCAAGCTCCCTTAAGCATCTCTTCTGTTTCCTATCAGCAGGAATTTAACAACAAAAAACTTTCCACTTGGATGCTATTTTGCATTTAACTAGATTAATTGTGCTTCTCTTGCATGTTTTCTGGATCTTATTAAATGCTTTAAAGTTACTAAATTTAGAGGAATATCTAAATAAAGCAAATTCCCCAGCCACTGAATTTAAAACATTAAATTTCTTCTGACAGCTACATAGGTGGTTGTTTTATTTTACCACATGGCTTACATAAAAGTGCAAAGACTGGCCATTTCTTGGCATAAATCAAAGGATTACTTTGGAGACTTTCCCCTTCACCTCTTTGCCTTTTTCTCAAGGAATACCGCAGTCTTCATGTTGAATAACCAAATGATTAATTTTTAAAATGAGTGCATGTAGCAGAACTCAAAATCTAGGCTGCACCTGCACCTCCTGATGCTTCCTTGCCTGTGTGTATGCACACTAAAATGGAAAATGAACTTTTCACCCCTTCCATTTTTTCATACTATCGAAATAAAAACGTCTCAGTGGACTTTAAATGGAATCTACAACTTCTGAGATTGAGGAATATGAATCTCATTGTAGTCCATGAATTCAGTTGTGAGGAAAGGATTTTTAGGTTGTCTTTCAAAATACTTCTTTTTCTGTCCAGTAACTGTTACCTGAAATGCACAGACAGACTTGGATGCAAAAGAAAAAGAAAAAGAAAAAGAAAAAGAAAAAGAAAAAGAAAAAGAAAAAGAAAAAGAAAAAGAAAAAGAAAAAGAAAAAGAAAAAGAAAAAGAAAGAAAAACCCAAATCCTACAATCACACAGCTGAAAGCTTGAACCATTAGAATATGGTGTCTAGCTAGTTTTTTCTTTTCCAGAGTCAATTACAGGTCATATACTGTAGTCCTCCACCTCTCACAGGGCTTGAAAAACATACAATCACAGTCAATAAACAGGTGTTCAAGTCCTATTTGCTCTGAAACCACTTGATTTCCTACACACTGATAGAAAGCATCGTGCAGGTGGTATAGGCTTTATGGTCCCAGAAAGGAAGCAGGCTGCAGGTGAGATATGTCAACCCACTGAGCACATCTTGTGTGCTCCAGGCAGTCCTGGTCTCAGCAGGCAGGTTTGTCAGAGGTACCTAATTCTCCCAGTGCCCTGGGCAGGGAGCCCATGTACCTACTACAAAGCATGGGGTCTCCAAAAGTGAGCCCATGGATACTGTAGGCATCTTTTTTTCTTCTTATTCTTTTTTTCTTTTTTCTTTTTTTTTCTTAGATGCGATCCACTTCTAACTTTTGCCACCAAAACAGTAGGCATCCAGTCTAAACTGGCTAATCTACTTTTCACTATAAAGAGAGACAGACATACTCAGAAGGCAGTTCAACTCACCTTAAACACCTATTTGTAGCTGCATTGAATTTTCTTTGCTCCTTTCCTCTTTCTGCTTGAGTTGTCATGCCTTTGCTTCCTTAACTACAGATAAAGCCTGGACAGCCAATATAAACTAGACAGTTGTGTTCTGGGTAGCTAATGCAAAATGAGATTAATTCCATGCTTGGAAGCAAGCTAAGCATGGCTCAGGGCATGTTGTACTAATGACAATGCCAGAGTGTTAAAAAAAAAAAAAAAAAGTTTGAAACTAATCTCTTTAACAGTGGTTTAACAGTGACAGCCACAAAAAAATCCTGCACAACTATCTGCAAGATAAGACCACTTTCTCAGCCCTAATCCATCCATGGGATTTTCATTTACGCAGGCATAGGCATCCTCTGTTTAGAAATACCAGAGAAATATCTGCCATGTTGTGA